TTTATTTTTATTTATTACATTTTATTTATTGTGTGTGTGTGTGTGGCCAGCCCAGCCCACCAGGGGGCGGGGCTGGCTGGCATGTGGTGCTGGAGGATCGAACCGAGGTCCCTGTGCCTTGCCAAGCCTGTTTCAAGTAGGTGCTTTAGACCACTGAGCCATCTCTCCAGCCCTGATCTCAAACTCTTGGTGATCACCTTGCCTCAGCCTCTTGAGTGCTTAGATTATAGGCATGCATCACCATACCTGGCTTGTATATATATATATATTTTTTTTTGGTATTAGGACAGGGTCTACAGGGTTTCACTGCATAGATCGGACTCATAGTGATCCTCCTGTTTACAGCCTCTCAAGTCTTGGGATAGCAGGCGCATGCACACCCAGTCTCAACTGCTGCCTCAATGTGGGAGGGTGGGGGGGGGCCCCGAGGATCGAACTCTGGGCCCCCGTGTCTGCCTAAGCAGGTGCTTTAATCCACTGAGCTATTTGGCCAGTCCTTCTGAGCTATTTAGCTGGCCCTTTTGTATATGTTTTAGTAAAAGCTGAAAAATTAATTTAAGATATTTCTAGACATAAGGACATAGAAAATTTAGCTCTTACAAATCCTTTTTGAGAAATTACTCATGAATGCTTTAGCAAAATGGGAGAAAAATGAGAGACAGAATCTCAAAAATAGGGGACTCAACTCAGAATAACAGGAGCTGGAGGTATAGCTCAGCAGCACAGTAACTGCCTGGCAAGTATGAGGTCCTGAGTTCTACTTCCAGTTCCAAATCAAAAGAACAGCAGAAAAGCACAGTCATAAAACAAGATATAGAGCCCCTGAGGAGAGAAGACGGAGAAGGGAGAAGGGAGAAGGGAGAAGGGAGAAGGGAGAAGGGAGAAGGGAGAAGGGAGAAGGGAGAAGGGAGAAGGGAGGACTAAAGTTTGGATAAGGAGTTCTCTCGGAAAAAAGGGAACTAAGAACATCTGAACTTGCTCTCACTAAATTGGCCAGGAAGAGCTTAAATTTATAATCTTCCTGCCTTAGTCTCCCGCAGTACTGGGATTAATTTTCAACTTTCAGAGAAAGAAAGCAAATAATTATTATTACAAAATGCAACAGGAATATTATCACTCTCGATACTATAAAAGTAAAATACAATCAGCACAGTGTTGTGCACCTTTACTCCCAGCTACTCAAGGAAGCTGAGGCAAGAGGATCCCTTGAGCTAGGAATTCCAAGCTAGTCTGGGCAACATGGTGAGACTCTATCTCTAAAGAAAGAAAAAAAGAAATATAAATAAATAAACCAAGAGAAATAAAGGAGGAGGGTAGGAGAGGTGGTGGGAAGGGAAAAGAAATTGGGGGCTGGAGATGGAAGAAGTCCAACAGCAGAGTGTATGCATGTATGCTTAGTATTGTAAAACCCTGGGTTCAATCTCCTATAGCACATGCTCATAGACACACACACTACAATCGGGAAACTGAAGGAAGAGATTAAAAACTAATAGGGGGCGAGGAGAGAGCTCAGTGGCTTAAGTACCTGCCTGGCAAGTGCAAAATTCTGAGTTCAATACTGAGTACCAAAACAAATACACACCCCAAAAACTAATGGGAAACGCCAGACATGGTAGCCCATGTCTGTAACTCCAGCATTCAGGAGGTTAATGCAGGAGGAGGATTGTTGTGAGTTAGACTAGCCTGGGCTGCAAGGCCAGCCTAAACTGCATAGTAAAAAAGAAAAAAAAAAAAGAAAGAAAAAAGAAAAAGGAGGAGGAGGAGGAGGAGGAGGAAGAAGAGGAGGTCTTATCCTTTTTTTTTCAGGGTTAAACTTATTGTCCTATTATTTATTTTTTAATTTTATTTTTTATTAATTTTATTGAGAAATAAATAGCAATGAGCAGTTTCAAAACCAATTAGTAGGACAGCTTAAATAATTAATTCATTGCATATTGTTGTCTTTATAGTAGTCATTCACAGTACAAGACACAGACATGATATCCTGCCCAAACACTATTGGTACAAATCTTTCTTCTCACTGAATTAAGAGAAAGTAGCTGTATATGTATCCTAACTATTTTACATATACAGATACAAAATGGTCCTTCATTTGTGTTCCCTTTTCTGTTTAGTTTTGTCAGAGATGGGTATTCCATTGCCATTCTAGTGCTCTTTTCTTTTTTTTTTGGCGGAACCGGGGATTGAACTCCGGCCCTTGCGCTTGCCAGGGAAGCACTTTATTCCACTGAGCCATCTCCCCAGCCCCTCCATTGCCATTCAAATATTGTAGGTGCGTGAATCCAGCAAAATAATCCAATATAGTCCAGCAGTCCATAATAGTAGTGGGTTATCCGCATGACTCACATGACTGGCAATGTCAGAAGTTGTTGACTTGAGCCTTTTACAGCTCAGCATATTAATATGGCTTTACTTTTTAAAATTTTTTTTTCCATTTATTTATTTAGTGTGTGTGTGTGTGTGTGTGTGTGTGTGTGTGTGTGTGGCCAGCTCAGTCCACTAGGGGGCGGGGCTGGCTGGCATGTGGTGCTGGGGGATTGAACTGTGGTTCCTGTGCTTTGCCAAGCTTGTTCCAAGTAGGTGCTCTAGACCACTGAGCCATCTCGCCAGCCCATGGCTTTTTACTTTACTTTTTGTTTTTACACTTTTCTGCTGGATGGTTAAGACCAAGATAAAGCAAGACCTATATAACAAGAAATGTAACTTTTGTATCTGACAGGGTCAGTCAAATTCCCTCAGGATTAACCCTGAAACTCTGTATCGCAGTTTGTAGATCCTTTGTCAATGTCAGCCATGTAGATGAGTCAAGCAATGGCTGTGACTCATCTATATGGCTGACACTGACAAAAGAGGACTTATCAATGTCCACATTCTACAATGCCAGGTGTCTAGAACTAATGGTCAAATAACTGGCAGATTAGTTTTTACACAGAGATTTAAGTTATAGAATGATTCTGGAAGACGGGTTAAATTAGGGAAATAGAAGCTACATTTGTCCTAACAAGAAGCTAACAGCTATTTTTTAAAATACTGTGTAACTTAAAAACAACATTCACAAATTATTATTATTGTTTACTTTTTGTGGCCAGCTCAGTTACCCCTGGGACGGGGCTGGTGCAGCATGTGGTGCTGGGGATCAAACTGCAATCCCTGAGCTTGCCTAAGCAGGTGCTTTAGACAGCTAAGCTATCTTGCTGGCCTAGGGCAAATTATTTTTAAAAAAGCTAAATGAGTTAAAAAGAGATTATATTTAGGAAACAGATTTGGTGAGACTTATGAGTTCTTTTTTGTTTGGTTGTTTTTTTCCAGTCACCATCTTGCTAGGTAGTCCAAGTTGTTCTTGAACATTCACAGTGATCACCTTGCCTCAACCTCCTGAGTGCTGGGATTATAGACATATGCCACCATACCTGGTTAGAAGGGTTCTTAATTTAGTCATTTTACGTGAAATTTAGTTCTAGGGTGCGTCTATCCAGTTTTCTGCTTTAAAAAAAAAGTATGTATACTTTTGCCCAATTTTGCATTTTCTAACAATACCTTCAAAATACTAAGGCCTTAGCTTAAAGGTTAGAGAATAAGAAAACTTTAGCAACAGTAGGATTCAGGTCTTAAGGTAGTGTCTACATTTCTTACTATCTGTATTAACTTGTATAAGATCACTCACTCAGGGCTGGGGAGATGACTCAGTAGAATAAGCACTTGCCTGCCAAGTGCAAGGGCCTGAGTTCAATCCCTGGTTCCGACAAGAAGAAGAAAAAAAAAAGATCACTCACTCTCTCCAAAAGTATCTAAA